CAAAAGGCCAGCACTGTGGACTATTTGCATATACTATTGGTCAATGCGCTCATATAAATTATGGCACGAATAAGTATGCATTTTAATTATGCTTATTTCGCAATTTTAATTATTTGTTAAACATTGACTGTTTTATAGATGGTTTGTTCTGAATCGTAATACTAAAGACAATACTTTAATTGTTGTTCCTGGATCGTAAAGATTATTATGATTATTTATTTTACCTTAATGTTATATCTGCAGTATTTATTAAATATTGATTTCTTTCTTTTCTTTTCTTTTTTTTTTTTTTTTTTTTTAGAGATAACCCACTTTTATTTTTACGAAATCTTGTTGCCAAAAATTGGACTTGGTATTTGCCTCCTGAAAAAATTAAGAATGGTGAGATTAAAAATGTTGCGATTAAGTTATTTGTTAATTAATATTTTTATTTAATTTATATTAAATTTTAGATATTAAATTACTATCTCAGATTAGATACCGTCAATATCCAGGTAATAATATTTTATTTCATTATTTGAAATTTTATTGTAATTAAAACAAAATTTTATTCTATAGTTTCATGTAAAGTAGTACCAAGGTAAAATTGGTGAACTTATAAATGTTTATATATGCATTATATGAATAATAATATTTATTTTGTATAGGTCAAATGGTAGATATGTAGTTGAATTTGAGATGCCACAAAGAGCAATTTCGCCTGGCCAGGTAATAAAAATAATTTATATATTTAATTTTATTTTTAAATAATTATTAAATATAATTATTACTTAGACTGTAGTTATTTGGGATAACAATTGGTGTCTTGGAAGTGGTGTTATTGAATATGCATTTTAAATTTTTAAGGTAGATAATATTATAGACTAATTATTAAAACACTGCTATTAATAGTTGCATAAATTATTATATGTTTATTTACTTAAAATCGGGTTTAATTTTTTTAGCTTTTACTAAAATTCACTACATGTGTTAAATATCATATATAGTTGTTATATTGTAAAAGTAGCTAAGTAGCGCTTCAAAAACTATCTAACTCTAATTCTTGTAATTTCCAAAAAAAAACTCTAAACTTTACTATCAAAATTTTATAAATAATAAAAAAATAAACCATATATTCATTTGTAAATACTGCAAGCGCACTTAATACTTGACATATATTCGAATTACAAAAGTTTACATATGAACTAATTTATATAGCCATTGTGAATCTAAAAATTATACATATATACATACATAATAATTCTTAAACTAGATAAATGGTTTCTTCGATTAATAAAGATATTTCATTGTTTTGATATACATAATTATTGCAGCTTTTCAGGATGACCTAAACTTTCCAAATAAAACACTTTCTATAGGAATACTCGAACTCTATGAAAATAAAGCTTATTCACATTCTATAGAAACTTCCTTTGTTTTTTCCAATATAAATTCCTTACAAATACTATCATATAAAATAACATTTTGTACATATCACTTTACATACAGTATCTAGAGATATCCATTTAATAAAAGTTTCAGACATTTTAATGCAGTTTTTAAAAATAATGAATCTTTAGAAATAGATACGGACTTGTGACATAGTCTAGTATATTAATAAAGTTTAACTTTACAATATAGTGAAAATTACAATTAGTGCATATTTGCGGTTTATATTAAATATTTTTATATAAAAATAGTAACTAATTTATTCTTTGTCAAAAGGATTTTGATTAAGAGATTTCAAAGTAGGAATAGAGAATGATGTTGAAGATTTTTTTTTTTTTACTAATAAAATATCAGTAAAATTAGGTTCAATAGGGATGTAATAGGCACTAATAGACATCCCTATCGCTGCCGAATTTTGGCTCAATAGTTAACAATCGAAACCATATTATCAATAAGATAATATGATTCTGATTGTTGACTATTGATTTCTTATTGATCTTTTTTGGCCAAATTTTGGCAGCGATAGGAATTCTATTGATGCCTATTGCATCCCTATTGAACTTAATTTTACTTGTTATAGGAATGTGATCCTGCTTAAACTAATTAGTTCATGCTTTGGAATTAGTGATGCGGTAGAGTCGTCCCAATGAAGTCCCAATGGATTTTTTGATATGAAAAGTAACGGCGTGGCGTAACTTTTTATTAAGCTACAAATAAGCCGTATCTCAATTTGCCGTATCTCAAAAATTCATTGGGACTTCATTGGGACGATTCTACTGCATCACTATTTGGAACTCGCTTGAATACGTACTGTTCTGAAACATAATTATTTTTGAATCCAGACCAAAATGTCATCACGTCATATATAAAATTGGTCTGGGTTCAAAAATAATTACCCATATAAATTGGATTTTAAACACCATCGCTATTTTAAAACTGGTTATACACATGACTATTGATTATACTCGCCCGAGCATGTTAGTTAAAATTCGTTATTTATAAGAATACAGAAAAATATATACATAAATACATATTTTGTGTATTTGCATAATACGTATATTGATATATTTATTTATTAACCTCTATAAAATCAATAATAAACAAGGCTTACACAAATGTTTTCTTCAAATAGACGATTACATATTCGGTTAATTATTCATTCTTTGCTTTTGAGAACATCTGTTTGCTAGGCACACTTGTGACCCGTACAATTTTATTTATTATATTTCATGTTTTTTAAAAAAATTACACATTACAAAGCCTTTTGCTCATAAGTTCTGTTTTTTGAAATTCGAGCCAATGAGTTTCATTTTACATAACTAAATTCACATGAAAAAATAAAAAACTCCTGCTTAGCTGATTCGAGTTTCGGACAGGGACGAGTAAAGTTCAAATAACAGGATTACATCTTTATGGTAAAAGCCTATCCGCGCATGATCAAAAAGATTATCAAAAATCAACACATAAAATTCACTCATCTCTCAAGTATTCTAAAGTGTATAAATAAATTATTCAATTGATATATTAACCAATCAATCGAACGCAGGAATGTCTGACCATTACCTCCGCATCTTTCCGGACTATAAAATCTTTAGCTCCGTACATACGTACATACGTACATACGTATGTACGTACGTACGTGCATGATTTCTAATGCGTAATCGCATATTATGGTCGTATATAACATTATGGTTGAATCATTTTTATACCTAGGGCGTTAACATTAACATTGTTCTTTTTTTGATTGTCAAAATAAAAAAGTTATCTGTTATGGGAAACTTCTAGTTTAAGTACATACTATTTTCCGTAATGATGAAATGTACGTTTTGTAATACTTTATATGTACTTAAAAATGGGATGTACAAATAGTCGAATACGTAATACGTAGTTTTACTTGTTTACCGAAAAAAGGTATAATTATGTTTTGTACTCAAGGCATAAATGAAATTAATACACTATTAAGGATTAAAGACTCCAGCAATTGAAATTTTCCGTGTTTCTATAAATATAAGTTTTTGTTTGCGTCACGTGATTGCAAATATATAAAATCCCGTACTCCAAAAATCATTTTCTCTTTAAAATGGAGAATCACGATAATTTATTCCTTAATAAAGAGCATACCGAGACAAACGATGCCAATAATATGAAAAATCTTGGAGATCGATATGAAAATGGAATTGGTGTTGAAAAAGACGAACATAAAGCGTTCATTTATTATAAAAGATCTGCTGATTTGGGGGATCCTGAGGGAATGAATAGTCTTGGATATTGTTATCAAAATGGAATTGGAATTGATAAAAATGCGTATGAGGCATTCATTTGTTATCAAAAATCTGCTAATTTGGGGAATGCTAGTGGAATGAATCGTCTTGGATATTGTTATCAATATGGAATTGGAGTTGAAAAGAATGAGGGTAAGGCATTCCATTGTTATAATAAGTCCGCTACAATGGGGCATGCTCGTGGAATGAACGGTCTAGGTTATTGTTATCAAAATGGGGTAGGCGTCGAAAAAGATGATTGTAAAGCATTCATTTATTATAAAAAGTCTGCTGAAATGGGAAGTGCTCGCGGAATGTGCAGTCTTGGATATTGTTATCAAAATGGAATTGGTGTTAAAAAGGATAAGCGTGAAGCATTTATTTATTATCAAAAATCTGCAGATATGAAAAATTCTAGTGGAATGAATCGCCTTGGATATTGTTATCAACATGGAATTGGTGTTGAAAAGGATGAACATAAAGCATTTATTTATTATAAAAAATCTGCTGATCTGAAGAATGCCGATGGAATAAACAATCTCGGATATTGTTATCAAAATGGTACTGGTGTCACTAAAAATGAGCGTGAAGCATTCAATTGTTATCAAAAATCTGCTGATCTAGGTGACGCTGATGGAATATACAGTCTTGGATATTGTTATCAAAATGGAATTGGTGTTGAAAAGGATGTGAGTGAGGCATTCATTTATTATTATAAATCTGCTGGTATGGGACATGCTCGTGGAATGAACAGTCTCGGGCATTGTTATCAACATGGAATTGGAGTTAAAAAAGAAAATAAGCAGGCATTCTTTTACTATCTTAAATCTGCTAATATGAGAAATGCTAGTGGAATGTTTCACGTTGGTTATTATTATCAATATGGAATTGGTGTTAAAAAGGATGAGAAAAAAGCATTCGATTATTATCATGAATCTGCTCAGATGGGAAATGCTCGTGGCATGTTTCATGTTGGTTATTGTTATCAATATGGAGTTGGAATCGAAAAAGATGAATATAAAGCATTTAATTATTATAAAAAATCTGCTGATTTGAAAAACGCTTATGGAATGTATGGAATTGGTGTTTGTTATGAGAATGGAATTAAAGTTGAGAAGGATGAAAAATTGGCGTTTATTTATTATCAAAAATCTGCTGATTCAGGAAACGCTAGCGGAATGAATGATGTAGGCAATTGTTATCGGAATGGAATTGGGGTTAAGAAAGACGAAAATAAGGCATTCAATTATTATCAAAAATCTGCTAATTTGAAAGATGCTCAAGGAATATGTAACGTTGGTTATTGTTATCTAAATGGAATTGGAATAAAAAAAGACTTATTAAAGGCTAATGATTGGTACAAAATGTGAATAATTTTCAAATTTCACATCAGTTAATATATGCTTAAACTGAAGATTTTAAATATTGAACCTTTATTAACCTAATATATCATATTCCATTATAACATTAAATTAGCGCTATTAATAACAATAATCTTATTAAAGCATGTCAAAGTATGACCAACGACTCTTCGGAGAATGGAATTGTGTCAATCGATTGCGAAAGAGTTGGCGTCGGTCCTGGTGATAAAGAAGATGCACTTGCACGAGTAACAATAGTGGACTATAATTTTAAGGTTATATTTGATAAATATGTACAAGTAAAGAATGTTACAGATTATAGGACTAGGATTAGCGGAATAACACCAAAATTACTAGCTAATTGTAAGTATTTATAGTGTTCCGCAAAATGGATTCGAGATTCGATTCGGATTCGATCCGCGAATCGATTTCTAATCCATAATTCATCGAACCCTACGAATTCGAATCCAAATATGAATTCGTTCAAATAGTATTCGAACCGGATCCGTTATTACTGTATTACCGAAGTATTCCTTTTTTTTTTTTATATATCAAGGCATTATCATTAGACCTCTCACGGATCCGGATCGAATCCAAATTTATGTGATCCGATTTAGGATCCTGACTTAGATTCGATTCGGTTTTCGGATCGAATCCGAATCTTTAGAAAGATTCGTCAGATTCGATCCGTGCGGAACATTAAGTATTCAAAAAGGACCATTTTATAATCTCACAATATGAATTTAACGGATTCAATTTAGCATATAGATTTGAAGATGTCCAGCAAGAAGTAGCTGAGTTAATAAGTGATCGGATCGTTATCGGCCACTCCCTTCATCATGATTTGGCGGTATATATTTCATATAGTCATTGATTTATGTTTACATTGATGTAAATTAACGTCTTTACCGTTATAATTTTTATTAAAGACATTAAAATTATACCATCCACGAGAACTTAAACGGGACACTTCTCTTCTTAATATAAATGGATCGAACAAAACGCCTAGCTTGAAAAAACTGGCAAAGAAGAAATTCAGTATTAATATTCAAAAAGGAGAGCATTCTTCGGTAATCCTATTTCTCTTTATAAAAATTTTGTATTAAATATTTAAAATCTAATCTGTCATATTAATAGGCTGTGGACGCGCTAGTATGCATGCTGTTGTATCGTAAACATGAAAATAAAGGGCAACAAATGATACCCGATTTTTGATTTTCG